CGCCCACTACATCTAGCCGCTGCTCACTAACAGCCGGACACTTCCACAGACGGTGATGCATAGCATCTTCCGCAGCACCGCACACGGGACAGAGATAGTCATCAAGCAAGTAGCCCGCATCTGTGGCCCTGGTCTTAGTCCAGCAAGCTCCACATACGAGACTGCGAATACAACCCTTTTCGAAATTAGACCACTTCTTCTTCTGAGGTTCCTGGAGGACTATGTCGCAACATGCCCTGTCTGCGCCCATCCCCAGAGCGGCCCCCGACAGCTTCTGAAGGTGACGAATGATTCCTTCCCTCAAAAACCTTTTGAGCATCCTGGGGGAGGTGTTGGTCAGACCTACGGACACCTGCTGGGCCGTGACAATGGCGGTGAAATCGATCATGTTCCACCCGATCCTTGACAGGGAAGCCCTAACCGCCGAAAGAGGTCCAGACACTTTCTTCCAAGAGATCGGAGGACCTCCAAAGGCCGAGTCCCAGGGCGCCCTCAGAACCGGGAAGGGGACCGAAAACGCGCACTGCCTAGTACTGGTGAGCCAGACCTCTTTCGCATATCTCAAAATCGGCGCCGTCGCCGCGCAGTAGCAAGGGTCGTGCTCTAAGATGGTGAACGACGTGAGGCTGCGCGAGCCCGCGGAGGGCTTGACACACTTGCCGAAGGAGCGGCGCAGCAATTCGAGGTCGTGGCCGGATGCGCCGTGGACCTCCGCTCCGAAAGCGGCCCCTGCCAAAGGTCCGGCAATGAAGATCTTCCGCGACCACTTCCCGAGAGCCTCCCTGGATTTCCTGAATCTCTTAACCCTGGCTTTTAAGGTCCTGGCCCTGGATGTCCACTTCTCGCCCTTCTTACCAGAGCGTCTAGCCTTCCCTGCAGCGTCGTCGATCCCCACGTTCGCCGCCGACTCCTTGGCAGGACCTCCTGCGAATCGGCCCAAGAACTGAACGAGCTTGCGGCCTAGCGAAGGAATGGGCGCGATGACAGAAGCATTGTGTTCAGCAGCGCTGAAACGCATATCAGTCTGCATTGCTGTCATGAGCATAGTGGTGGTTTCTTTAAGGCCTATGCTGACAGACGACTCCGTTCCGACCGATCTAACTCCATAGTCGTCTATGTAAATGTCCAAGAACACATCCCGAAGAATGGGGGGCGGGTCGATGGCGGGTATAAGGTAAATGCGCACGAAGGTGGTGGCCATCGAACAGCCCGCACCGACTCCATTTAACGAATGAAAGGGCCCCACAGACAGAGAAGAGAGCGTTGAGAACCTAGCTCCACGATAGGCCGTCATACAAACTCGCGTAATCTGCGATGGAAAACCTAGCTGCTTGGCCCGGGCCTCGACCAGCGGCAAATGCATGCCCGCGTAGAACTTGAGCAAATCCCAGAGCACGGAAGCTGCCGATTTGCCTTCACGAACTCCCAGCTCGCTGCGAAGCGCCTGCCTCCATACCACATCAGAGGCCCCATTAGAGGCCGCGGCCGCGAGGTAACTCCGAGAATTCGCGAGCTCCCACGAGGAAGCTAACTTACGACGGGCCCTTCCCCAGAGCCGGTGCCCCGAACTGAAAAGGCCGATAAGCCTAAAAAGCCCCCCTGGGGCTTGGCTATAAGCGCCATCTGCTACACCTGCAAGTGGTATGGAAGAAAGCCCGTGGCTTCAATCAGCTGGAGAAGAATACTGAAAGCCTCGAGGCAGCCGTCCGACATGCCAGCATAATGGCGCACGTGGAACCCGTCGCCGTGGCAGTGGAATAGGAGCGACTAGCCTTACGAATGTCATCGGCCGTAAGGATCTGAAGGGGCTCAAGAATCTCCAGCGGCTTGTCGATGACGTCTGGCTCCTTGTCAGCTTGCCAAAGACCTGCAAAACGGGCCGCCTCTGTCTCCAACAGGGCGAGAGGGTCGGACACAAGGTGGCCGCCCTTCGACAGGGTCGTGGTCGGCGTCCAAGGCTTGCACTCCTTAGTCCACCTGCGGGCCCTCCTTCCTCCTTTAGTGATGCCGTCCAAGAGCCAAGCCTGCAAGTCTTTAAAACTGCGGTCTCGGGCCGCCGCCGAAAACTTACCGAGGGGAATTTCGAGCTCAGAAAGTAGCTCCCAACCGACGTCGACGCCCCAGGAAACCTCAATCTCGCCTTCTATGATCTATGAGAAAGGCGCCCACCCGGAGGAAGTCGCCCTGGCAAGCGTTGAGATGATCGGCAACCGTGGCCGGAGGCGTCAGGAGTGCTTGCCCATGAATCCCAAGAGCCTTCGAGTGCTGCAGCTCCCCCAAGAACGCTCGGAACTCCCTCGCAAGCCAGCGGAAGGCGAAAAGGTCGGGATCCTTGACGTTGCTACGCGCGGGGTCCAAGTCCGCCACGGAGACCCAGATCAGCTTCGGAACCTTCCCCCGGGCACCGTACCTGTGGAGGGTCACGAATCTGGACACCGCCACCTCGTGCTCGGCGAGGTCCGCCCACTCCTGGTAAAGCTTGTTGAGGTGTTTCTGGACCTGCCTGCGCTTCGGGTTAACCCTGAGCGCTGCCAGACCGCCCTGAGCGAGCGCCAACACCTGATCTGCCGACCTGGTTTCAGCAGGTGGCCCAATGGGCTGTCTGCTGCCCTGATCTGCGGCGCCATGGGCAAGAGAGCGCGACCGACGACGATGAGACAGCACACTCCCCCAGGCCTGTCCTGGGCGACATGGGGCTGCATCAGAAAAGGCGGTTGCTGGTCGGGTGTCGCCCTTCCCCCAACCGATTCAAACGCCCGGAGATCTTCCGAGGATCGCCCCCAGGACACTGCGACACGCCGTGGCAGCACGCTGCCACTGCCTGCTTCTCGCACGCACGCTTGGGCAGCCCTGCTGCCACTGCCTGCTTGCTTCCCCCTTTTCGCGCGAGTGGATTTCCTCCACTCCTGCTCTCGTACAGCGGGCTGATCTCTGCACTGCAACTGAGGGTAGCTCGTCCGCGTCCTGCCATTTCGCGTCGGAGCCCGTCCGTTGGCCCCTGCACTTCTCACACGCGCTGCTTCTAGCGAGTGTAGCTAGATAGAGTCGGGCTCCAACTTTGCCTCCCGCTTCTCCCAGCGCGCGGTGGTGGCTAGGAAGGTGCCGTTTGGCTCCAGCATTGCTTCCCTCTTTTCGCAGCGGCTTGCCCAGATCCCAACGCTGTAGCAGACGACGTCGGGCTCTGCCTTCGCCTCCCACTTCTCGCAGGATGGCGCTCTTCTCGCACACACTGTTCCCAGATGTGTTAGCTCTGCCTTCGCCTCCGACTTCTCGCAGGGTGGCGCTCTTCTCGCACACACTGTTCCCAGAGTGGTTAGCTATACGACGTGTGGTTCCAGCTTTGCCTCCCTCTTCTCGCAGCGGCTTGCCCCGATCCCACCGCTGTAGCTGTCGACATCGGGCTATGCCTTCGCCTCCCTCTTCTCGCAGGATGGCCGCGGCAGAACATTGCTCGCTTTTCTCGCACGCGCTGTTCCCAGAGGCGTTAGCTAGTAGAGAAACTCGGGTTCCAGTTTCGCCTCCCTCTTTTCGCAGCGGCTTGCCCCGATCCCAACGCTGTAGCTGTCGACATCGGGCTCTGCCTTCGCCTCCCACTTCTCGCTGGATGGCCGCGGCAGAACATTGCTCGCTTTCCTCACCCGCGCTGTTCCCAGAGGCGTTAGCTAGAAGAGACACTCGTGCTCCAGCTTCGCCTCCCGCTTCTAGCAAGCCCTCCTTCTCGCACGGACGACTCCCAGCGTTGCAGCTGATCGTGGCCCACCCGCGCATTTTGCACAGCGCCAACGTCCGCTGCCACTGCGCGCTCCCTTTCTCGCACGGATTGTTCCCAGCGTTGTAGCTGATCGTGGCCCACCCGCACCTTCGTCCCCGTCGCAGCGCCAGCTCTGGCTGCCACTGCTTGCTTTCTCGCAACGTCAGCTCTGCCTGCCACTGCTGGTCTTCTCTCACGGCCTGATCCCTACGCTGTAGCTGATCACGACTCTGTTGTCCCCGCACTCTGCCCGCGGCGCCGCATCGGCTGGCGCCCCGGTCTGCCAGGAGGTGGAGGAGGGTGGAAACGGAGAGGAGGAGGGGGCGGGAGGGGGCGGGCATCCTGGCAGTTGCGCGTTCGCCTGATCTCAGCGTTGTAGCTGATGACGTGGGGCTCCACGCTGTTTCTTCATGACTCGGGCGCGCAGCGCCACTTCGAAGTTCGCGCGCCGCAAAGTCCAAGGGCCCGGTGCAGGGGGGGGCCGCTCGGACGCGAAATGGCTAGGAGGAGGAGGAGGAGGGGGAGGAGGAGGGGGAGGAGGAGGAGGGGAGGAGGAGGAGGAGGAGGAGGAGGAGGGAGCGGAGAGGGGGGGAGGGGCAGGAGGAGGAGGAGGAGGAGAGGAGGAGGAGGAGGAGGAGGAGGAGGAGGGAGGAGGAGGAGGAGGAGGAGGAGGAGGAGGGGGGGGGCTGGCGGCGGCGTGCAGTGGCCCAGGCGCTGGCGGAGTGCGACGAGCAGGGCGCGTGCAGCAACGTCAAGGAAGGAGGCTCGCAAGAGGTAGAGCCGGCGGCTCTGCCTCCGACAATGGAGCCCTCCCGATCGATTGCGCCCGCCGCGTCGACGATGCGTCGGTGACATCGGTGCCGTCGGCGTGGAGAAAATCGGGCTCCGCATCGAGCCGCATCGCCGCTGTATCCGCGGTGCGGCTCGTTTTCTGACAGTCCCGGCGCCCGTGGAATTGGGGGGTTCAGGAGGGGAGCGCTTCAAGAGGGGGGGGTGCAAATCGTGGCCCGAGGCACTTGCGCGGCCCAGGGGCGGGCAGGGACGTCTTGAACAAAGGGGCGCCATGAGATCTGGGGAGATACCATGGCCCCCGCCATGAGATCTGCACCCCCCCAGTCATCACCCCCCTCTTGGCCGCTCCCGAAGGGCTGGGAGGCGGGGGCCGCAGGCGCCCAACCGGAGCTCGAGGAATGGGAAGTCCAGCCGCGAAGCGAACCACCAGCGGAAGCTGCGCCGTGAGGCCCGCGGCATACGTTGAGACCGTCCGGGCGCAGTGGCGAGCAGGTCGCGTTCAGTACCGGCGGCAGGGCGGAACTGTGCACCATCAGGTGCACGTAGTAGGGGGGCTGCCTCGGCGCGCGTCCAGCGGTACAGAAGAGGGCCCAAAGAAACCCCGAAAAAACAAAGATACAAAACGACCGACCATGTCTGTTTGGCACCGCCTGCAACTGCCGTGTTATATTATCCTCCTCGACAACTGCTCTGCAGTCTGGCCAATGGCCCTCCTTTTCGAGCTGAGCGGATAGAAGGAGGAACCCTTCCTCGCTGACTATTTCCCTGACCGGAGGAAAGGAGCTGCTCCTCCACCGCTCTTGCTGAGTCCACTTGGCTAACATGACTGCCAACATATGCCGCTTAACGCAATCTTCCCATCATAAGTAAGTCGCGGGGGGTTGGGGGGGGGGTAATGGTGATCATCATGTTCATCAGGTCCCCTACCCACTCCCCTTATCACATCTTCCTCCATATTACCTTCTCTGTTACCTCCATCCCTTCTGACTAATCCCTCGTTCGACATTCATCACTTCTCGGCCCTCTCCCTCCCCCCCCCCGCTCCCCCTCCTTCTTTCTGCCTCCCTTCCTCATCTCATCCCCCCTCCCCTCTCCGCAGGGCCCCCTGCTTCCTCTCACCCATGCCCCCTCTTCCCTCCTTCTTCCTCCTCCTCCATCCTCACTCCTTCCCTCCATCCTCAAAGCTGATTACCCCACGGTGGTCTCACCGGCTACCCGACGAACGAATGCTCCACACTTACCGCACAGCTGCCCCGCGAACAACTCGCGTTGCCACAGTACGACCTAATGACAGCGCAGGAAGGGGACGCACGTTGGAGGGATGCAGAAACAGAGAGAGAGAGGAGGAAGGATTGTGTGAACATCACTTTCGCCCTATGGCCACGGTCCCGAGCAAATCGCAATAGTACGTCATATCTCAGAATGCTGCCCTGCAGACCTAAGGACTATAGTGCACGCTGCCCAAGGAGGTATAAGGAGCATTAGCTCGTCTTTGATACATTGCGTTTCTTCTTCTTCGCAAACATTTGTACGACAATCTCCAGCGTCCAAAAATAGTTCAGGCCCGTGAGAATTGTCAATGTGCCCACGGTCTGAAGGTGTTGGTACGAACCAACTTGGTAGCCCTCGCCTCGAACTACCACTTTGTGGGCGTAATAAATGAAATATGGATACCATATGAGGCGCATCGACACCCAACTGGCATAGAATAAAGCCTGCTGCAGCGAAGACTTCCAGCCCAACTTACCGACGGTCAGCACCAGTGTGTTGATCTCGACAATCGATGCCATTCCTGTGAGGTAGCCGAGGTGGTAGTGCGTGATGGGGAAGAAACACAGCCAGGCAGTGGCGGCGTGGTGCAACAGGATAGTAGCCAGCCGCAGGGTGTTGGGCTGTATCTCGGGCGCGATGCAATTGTAGATGGTATCTAGCACAATATCCGCCACCGTGTCTTGCACACGGGTGGAGTGCACGAGGGCCACACTAAGGGCGACAAGGGCCCACATCCGACAAGCTGGAATGTATTGGAGGCTCCAGGAGGGCAGGCGAGCCCAGTGCCGAATCGACACGTCGGATCGGAGATCGAAATGACTCGGATCGGCGAAAATCGGCAGCCGAGCCGAGAGAAGTCGAATCGACGGAAATCGGCAAGCTAGTGTGCCTCCAGAGAAAAATCGGAGCCCAAATCGGAACCTGAAGCCGAATCGACCCGGAATCGGAATCCGTCGACATCGAATCGAGTCGAATCGGAGGAGTCGAAACGAGCCCCGGGAGGGTGGCACACGAGCCTTCCGGACACCAAGATAGGTCGCGATGTCCGAACTCCTAAGCCCCACCAGCCATCGTCTCTCCGGCATCGAGGGGCAGCGGGGGTGGGCCTCGGACTTCTCCGCGCTGCCGACGAATTACGAACCCTGCTCCCTCCGCCCATCGAGCTGCCTGAAACACTGATCGGCGAGGAAGTAGTTTTTTTTATACATATATACATAATATATTCACTTCTCGATTTGTGCGTGTCATCCTTGCGCAGGGGCCATGCTAATCTTCTCTGTATCGTTCCAATTTTAACGGATGATCCCCGAAGGGAATCCCGATCGGCGAGGAAGTAGTGACGAACGAACAACACACACACCCATACCCATAGGGGGATCGGATGGAAGAAAACTGGCTATGGGTATGGGAGCGGGTTGTCGGACCGCGGGGGAGGCTCCTATTCGAGCGGGAAGCCCTATCCGACAACACGCACCCATCGCCCCTTCAGTCCCCCCCATTGGTAATTATGGGTGTGTGTGTGTGTGTTTGTGTGTGTGCGCGTGTGTGTGGTCCGTTCGTCAAGTATGGCTCGGATCCACCTCCGACAAGACTGCTGAACACGCGGAACTCGGTCGTGCCACGGGCTGCAAGAGGATGCGTTGGCGCAGGTGCCCAAGACCTTCCCCACCCGAGGGGAACTCAATGGCCCCCAGGAGTCCCCCCCATCCAGTGGCGAATAGCTCCAGGGGGGGGGCAATACATTAGGGCATTAGGAGCAGGGCTCGAGCTAAACAGCGTGTTTCGTTGTTGTGGTGTGGTTTTCGTTTTCCTTCGTTCTGTCCTTGTTCTGCCTTGGCTGCGAAACGAACTCAACACATTAAAGTTGTCCACGAAATCGCCAAAACAGCGTTTAGCTCGAGCCCTGATTAGGAGGCAACTCCTGGGAGGTCTTATTGTGCGCGATTGCAGGAACGACTGAACTAAATTGGGCGGGATTGGGCCCGGGATTAAGCCAAATTATGATGGACTAAACCGGATTATTCGGCAGAAAGCCAGGTTAAACGGGACTCAGCCAGATTCAGCGCCGATGGTCCATGTCTTCGGCGAGGCTCGGCGAATGCGTGTAATGCCAGCCCCTCCCCCCCTTCCCCCCTTCCGTCCTTCCCCCCCGGCCCTACTCCCCCTCCTGGTCGTCCTCGTTGTTTTTGTTTCCCTTCACCCTGCCGCTGGGCTCCGCTGCGATGGTAAAGGCAAACATGTGGAATGCCCGCCCTGGGCTATTCGGTCCTCTCTCGTCGCCTCCGGCCAAGGCCCTGGAGAGGCTCCCCGGAGGGAGCCTTGGGGCAACACGGCGCGGCGGAGCGGGCCGCAGGCCACAGGATAGCCCACGATGCCCCACGACAGCGCCGCGTCGACCCTCGGCGTCGTGGACAGCGCCACGGAGATCAGGGTCAGGACCACGAGGGGCGTGATGAGGACCAAATTGAACTTGTCGTGGCGAAGCTGGCTGGCGGCGCGCCAGCAGGGGGGGGTGGGGGGCAAGGCGTGACGGGGGGGGGCGCCTGAGGAAGACAAAAATCATGTTGCATCTTCGGGGGGCCCTGTCTGTCCCGTCGCGCCCCAATCCGCGTCGAATGCGTATCGAATCCATGTCGGTCTCGCCGAACCCGTGTCGAATCCATGTCGAGCACGCGTCGAGTCCGCATCGAGCCCGTGGCGGGCACAAGAACCAGACGCAAATTGTCGGGGACAGACGAGGCACTCAGAGGATGCAACGTAAAGTCGGGGGCGGGGAGAGACCCCATTAGCAAGACGCCCTTCAGTGACACCTTCCATAGAAACTCCACGTGCGCAGGGCAACGCGTTCCAGGTGCTCCCGGGCGGGATCGCTGATCGATATCATCAAATACATCCAGCAAGACGCACGCCGCCCGGCGAGATGCACCGATACACTCGAATGCCGATTTCGAAGGAGGCAGTGCAGATATCCTTGGTCGGCTTGTCTCGCTGGGCGCCCTCTCGGGGGCAATTAACCAATCAGGTGCTGATGCCGCGACTCCGCGGACCTCTCCTTGGGGTGCGTTCTGACAAGAATTGCAAGGCGAATCTATGCCCGACATCGGCGGCGAGCGGGGGTGGGAGGTGAGAAGGAGAAGGCCTCCTCAAAGGCGGCGGACCTCCTCGGAATCTCCCCAGCCTCCTGAAAAGAGTTTTGTGTCTTCGGGGATGGCTTAGAAAACTTCTCGAAGGCCGACGGACTTCCGAACCTTCTGAGGAGGCCCTCTCCATCTCACGCCCCCCTGGGTGCGCCGCCGAATGTTGGCCAAAATCGAGCCACGGACCCCTCCCGGGGTCCATCCGACGCGGTCGTTCACCCCGGATCGGGTTTGGGGGGTCCTGGGGCCTGCAAACGGCCCCCAGAGGCCGAGAGCTATGAACAGCCACCTCGAACCTCGAAGCTCGAACCTCGGCGTTCCCCCCCGGGCTCGCCGCGGATTCTTGGCAGGGCCCTCAGAGGGGCCACTCCCGAAGGGCCGCCCCGACTGGGCCGGCCGCCGACGATAGCAAGGGTTGAGTAGGGACCGGCCGTCCCGGCATTCCTATGGCCCTACCACGAAATGTTCTTAGAACCAAAAAATGTTCTAAGAACCCAAACAGTGTTCTGAGAACATAAACCCGATGTGATAAAACGACACAGAATCCGCCCGGAATGCTCGACCAAAGGTTCTTAGAACACTGTCTGGTATGCCTATAGGCACGCCAGGACGCTTCGCCACTGCTTCAAAGAGGCAGGGGGGCCCATTCCCGAGAGGGCCGCCCCGCCTGGGCTGGGCGCCGACGACAGCAGGGGGGCGGCCCCTCTCGATCGAGGGCCCCCTGCCCCTCCCCGAGGGGCGTCTCCGAGGGGGCCCCCCGCTCGGGAAGCTTGGCCCGCTGGCCAGACCCGCAGGGGCGGTGCGGGGGTGCCTCCCCCAGGATCGGCGGCGGGCGATGGGGGGGGGGGCAGCGATCGGGCCGAACGGAAGGGGGGGGTAGGCAAAACTGGGGGTTACGAAATCTGCTGCATGCAGCTGCCCTGACCTTCCAAGAGGGCTAAAAATAGCACGCGACTTAAAAACCTATCCCAAGGCTATTCTACGTCCTGGTTTTAGGCTGTTTCGGTCAGCGTTTTAGGTTTTTAGGCCTCCAGTGCTAAAAAATAGCTCTCTGGAAGGTCAGGGTGGTTTCGGCCCCGCCGCCGGGCCCATTCCGCGACACATGGGCGCCTCCCGGCGCCGGGAGGCGCTGGGGAAATCAGCTACGTG